GTGAGACTCCAACTCAAAAAATATATACACACACACACACACACACACACACACACACACACACACACACATTGTTGTCGGTGCTGAGTCTTATTTTTTATTTTTGGGGGCTACTGGGGCTTGCTATGTTGCCCAGACTCCCCTTTATTTATTTACTTTTTGGAGTCAAGGTTTCACTCTGTTGCTCAGGTTGGAGTGCAGTGGCACAATTACAGTTTACTGCAGCCTTGACCTGCCAGGCTTAAGAGATCCTTCCATTTTAGCCTCCTGAGTAGCTGGGACTACAGGCATGTGCCACCACACCTGGTTAATTTATTTATGTGTTGATTGTATAGTTGAGGGCTCCCCATGTTGCCCAAGCTGGTCTTGAACTTCTGAGCTCAGGCAATCCACCCGCCTTGGGGGTGCTGGGGATTACAGGCATGAGCCAATGTGCCCGGGAACTCCTAGGCTCAGGCAGTTCTCTCACCTCATCCTCCTGAGTAGCTGGGATTACAGCTACGTGCCACTGAATCCGACTGGTTGCTTACATTTTGTGGTACCTCCTTACATTTTGCCACCAGAGTGAGTTTCTTACTTGTCTCACCTGAGCTCCCATCCAACCAGACCTGTCTACCCACTGCAATACAAAAAAATCTTCAAGGAAACAGAAGCAGAAAATATAGATACTCTTCTAAGACTCACATCAATTGATTCCCAAGGCAGGAAAACCTTTGTACAGGAGGGTGAGGAAATATTGTCGCAGTCAGCATTTATTGGTTCTCAGCACAAGTGCGCCCTATGCTGTGGCCACTCCCTCTTCCAAATTCCCAGAGAAAAAATACTGTAGGACTGTGAGGAAAGCAAAAACCTGGCAAAAGTACAGAAAGCCAAGCGATAAACTGTGAGGCACTGGGCCCCCTTCTGTCACTGATGCTCTCCTGACGAAGGGGCAGGTGAGCGGATGCTGCCTGTTCCCTCTGTTCACCCAGTGACTGCTGTGTGGGACACCCTGGACACTCAAGGCCAGCAGGCTACCAGATGCTCCTAAACTCGGGTTGGAAACTCACCCCGATGCAGCTGGGTTTGCTCCCGAACTTGTTCATGTCACTTGTGCTTCAATAATGAAATTTCACGAAACATGTAAGCCATGAAATGCGACTTCAGAAAGAGTGCTGTGGCTTACCTGGAAGCTAAGTTAAAGGCTTGGGAGAGACAGGATAAACCATGATTCCTAAATATTGCTCTTGAATTAGCGTCTGTGAGAACATGGAAGAATTGGGGAGAAAGTCATAAAAGTTTAGAGGGGTTCATTACTCAGATTGCTTTCCAAGGGTCGCAAAGTTGCTACTCTGAAGAAATGGAATTATAGATGAGATATTATGGGATGGTTTATATGAAAAATAGAGTTGAGAATTCAAAAGGGCTAGGTGTGGTGGCTCAGCCTGTAATCCCAGCACTCTGGGAGGCCGAGGCGAGAGGATTGCCTGAGCCTGGGGGTTTGAGACTAGCCTGGGCAACTTGGTGAGATCTCGTCTCTACAATAAATCAAAAAGTAAGCCAGGCATGATAGTGCACACCTGGCTCTAGCTCCTTGGAAGGATGAATTGGAAGGATCGCTGAGCCCAGCAGGTTGAGATTGCGGTGGCCATGAGCATGCCACTGAACTCCAGCCTGGGCAACTAGGTGAGAATCTCTCTCTAAAATTAGTTGGGCATGGTGGCACACACCTGTGGTTCCAGCTACTTGTAAGGCTGAGGCAAGAGGATCACCTGAGCTCAGCAGGTCAAGGATGCAGCGGCCGTGAGTCTGCCACAGCACTCCAGCCTGGGTGACACATTGAGACCCTGACTGAAAAAAAAAAGAACTCAAAAGACTGGTAAGCGAACGTATATTTACATAGTCCAAATTAAAATAAAATTGTTTAAAGCATATATGTATGATTTAAAATTATTTCTCTATAACCAATTTTTCAATGACTCCGTCCCAATCACATCAGATAAAAGGGATTTTACTATATTTATTTATGTTAATGTAAATCTCACACTTGTTTTTGAGAGTTCTATCACCAACATGTCCAAGGAGTTTGAGTCCATGCCCATTTTTAATCTTAAAATTACTATGATTATAACAGCTTAAGGAGACATTTATTTGCATTAGTTAACACAGATTTGCCTGTAGTTTTGGATTAATCTGCATATATAGCCCAGATTGGTTCTTTAAAGCAAGGAATATTTGCATAAGTGGTGAAGAATGGCTCATAGGATAGCAGTACATTTGTAAGTAAGTCTCTGGTTAACAGAGTAAGACATATTTGTGATTTTTGTGTATGGGCAGTGGGGTGGGCAGCTCCTTACGCGAACTGGAGAAGTCATCTCTCCCCCACCCCCAAGGTTGGCCAAGGCCACAGAAATTTATTTATTTATTTTTGAGTTGGCGTCTCATTCCGTTGCCCAGACTGGAGTACAGTGGCCGCTCCCAGCCACCGCAGCCTCGACCTGCTGGGCTTCGGCGATCCTGCTGCCTCAGCCTTCCGAGTAGCCAGAGTTACAGGCGCGCGCTACCACTCCTGGCTGATTTTTGATTTATTGTAGAGATGAGGTCTCGCTAAGTTACCCAGGCATGTCTCGAACCTGCGGGCTCAGGCAATCCACTCACCTCAGCCTCCCAAGGCGCAGGATTACAGGTTGAGCCACCGAGCCCGGCTACAGCTGGCATTTTTGATGTTTTATTGATGGCATAGGACTAGCATGTTTGGCCAGCCTCATTATGATTGAATAACCTAATTTAAACAAGGAACTACAACCCAAACAATGGCTCTGACTCATCAGATAAGAAAGTAAGGAAGTACTTGTTATCATTTGTCAGTGAACTTTTATTTTTATGCAGTTTGAACCATGGGTCACGCTGCAGACACTGTCCTTTAAAACTGTCGGAAACCTCTGTTACTTCCTGATCACTGATGGCCTCTTCCTTTGAGGGAGCAGCTCTTACAACAGTTTTGGAAAGCAGTGGTGATGACTCCCTTCTCCTTGGCGTTGAGTGTTTCCTTCCCCTTGAACAATTGGCTTTAGATGATAGTGACCAGTTCAGACTAAAACAGGCTTTAGTTTGCCTTTTTATGTCATCTAATTTCTAAAACATGACCATTAAAAGAGAAGGAAATTCATATTAATCAACCACCTCTCTGTGATCTTGGGGCGCACTCATCTGTGGATCTGAGAAGCCTGCCACGGTCCCAAGGCTCATCTTTGCTTACACACATCTCACAATCACAGGTTATGCCAGTTGCTGTTGTGGATTCCATGTGCTTCATTTTAAAATTCCCAACTGACTGACCCTCCTGGAATATCTTGACGGCCCATTCCTTGCTCAGCTAGTGTAAGCTTAGAGAACACAAATAAATTTTAGTATCAAACTTTAAAAACACAATCAGAGAAATCTGATGAGGGAGAAATGATACTGCCAGACATTACATAGCAGTCATCTCTTGTACACACTATATTGGAGTGTAGCTTATGTAGTGATCTCTGCTTGGAATGGTTTTTCTTCTTCCTTTCTCTGCCTGGCAAACTGTAGTTCATCCTTCACTGCTCAAGTCTTCTGTCACCTTCTCTGTGAAACTTTATGGAACTGCTTTGCTTCCCTCCAATAGGCATTGACTGCTATCTTTTTTGTGCCTCTCACTGTGCTTTATAGATCCTTCTATGCTGCTACTCTGGGTTGCAGTGATATATTTATATGTTGGTGTCCCCATTAGACTGTGAGCAGCCTAAACGCTGGGGAAACATCTATCAGTGTATTCTCAGTTTATGTCCTCAACAGCTATATGTTTGGATGAATAACTGGCTCAAGCTGAAGTTATTCTTCTGAATACTATCAGCATTTGACTTTGTCATACTCTGCCTACCAATATGCAGTTGGTACAGTACTACCAATATGCCATAGACACTGCCCAATCAGAGCAGAAGCTCATCATAGAGCTGAGAATGTAGAATGTAACATTTGT